GCCTGGTGCTCCAGACTGTTCGTCCTTCTTCCTTCCCCGCGCCTGCCCGGCGCTCTGAGCTCGGCCAAGGGTCCTGCTCTGGTGCCGCCTTCTCTATGGAGTAGCCAGAGAGTCCCTCAGCACTGCTGAGCTTCCCAGCAGGGAGCTGTCATAGAGTCACAGGATGGTCTGGGGTGGAAGGGACCTCACAGCTCATCCAGTCCCAACCCCCCTGCCATCAGCAGGGACACCTTCCACTAGACCAGGTTGCTCAAAGCCTCATCCAACCTGGCCTTCAACACTTCCAGGGAGGAGCAGCCACAGCTTTTCTGGCCAACCTGGGACACTGTCTCACCACCCTCACACCAAAGAATTTCTTCCTCACATCTCATCTCAGTCTCCCCTCTTCCAGTTTCAAGCCATCACCCCTTGTTCTCTCACTCCCTGCTCTTGGCCAAAGTCCCTCCCCACCCTTCCTGGAGCCCCTTCAGGTACTGGGAGGCCACTAGAAGGTCTCCCTGGAGCCTTCTCTTCTCCAGGCTGAACAGCCCCAACTCTCTCAGCCTGTCCTCACAGCAAAGCTGCTCCAGCCCTGCATCATCCTTGTGGCCTCCTCTGGATTGGCTCCAGTAGGTCCATGTCCTTCTGATGTTGGGGGCCCCAGAACTGGGCACAGTATTCCAGGTGAGGTACAAAATTAATGTTTGTGGGCAAAAGAGGCTTTGGCAGTAATGCACAGTCTGCCAAGTAGAAGCAGACAGCACAAGAACGTGGACAGAGTAGCCCATCAGGATATTTCTGCTACTTCTGGAAAAATGAGGCAATGCATTGCCTCATTGCAGTAAAGTGATTCAGTCACAGCATAACACACAACAAGCGTTCTTTCTTTTTAGGAGGATGTTTTTGCTATCAGAGGAATTGTGTTTAATTTAAGCTGTTCTGGTAACTCCTGAACCAGTAGAAACAGTGCTAATAACGAGAGCTGAGAGGCCTTCTGTTAGCAGCAGCATTGCTAATAGATTTCTCATCGCTGCATCTTTGATCATTGACATCCTCTCGTCTAGAAAATCCCACTGAGATGTTTCTTCTCAGTGTGTGCGTTTATTCAGAGCTTTTGGACAAAACGTTACCTGCTTCTTATAAATTATGTGGGTTTGATATAAATTCATCAATAAATGGAGCAATTCTCTTCAAGCATTTTGGATTTGCATCACCTTTGAGAAGAGCTCTCTTGTTTTTATGGCTTTATGTGTTGATGATTTCAGGTTATTCTTCCATACTTCTGAGCATCTTGGAATCTACCTGCTTACCCTAGACTTTGTGACTAGGGTAATACATGTGGATTGGATGGAACATTTTTGAAAGCTATGGGAATAACCGTCTCCTTAGTAAATGGTTTAATCTGGAGGCTGTGTTGTACTCAGAGGAGTGGAAGTGTGCTGACAGAGCACAGATGAACATGCCTTCTCTGTAACTTGTCCAAATGGCATTACTGATGTGATTGTTGGGATGGAGCTGAGGTCTGGCCTGTTGCTGTGGGAACATGAGGAAACTAAATGTTACCAAAAACACCTGTATTGCTTTCCTCTCAGCTTTAAAAAAAGTGTAGACTACCTCTCTCTTCTCTCTGTAGGAGAGAACATAACCAAATACTGAGCTGAGAGGAAGAATCAAGTTCAAGGTGAAAGATGATGATCAAAAGATGTCGGGCAGTTGTGCTTTAACTCCAAGCAAATGTAGGCTCTGTGACTTTGTATTGCTCTGAGGGATAGAAGAGATGTTGGCAGATGCCCTCTGAAATAGAGAACAGTTTTCTTACCTCTTTCAAAGTATTTTTCCATGCAGCTGATGTACCTTTAGTGTCATTCTGCTTGAACTTGAGGCAGCTATCTATATATGTAGCCTTGTGTAGGCTTCCATTTGTACTAAAGTTTGCCCTCAGATTCTGCAATTTAGAGATGTTGTGGAGGTCCACTTCCGATTCCCTTGTTTTCTAAGCCTCTAGATTTTTGTAGCCCTTTGGAGCTTTTGATGATTAGAATACAGTCTCTAGCTGTTACCCCAAAGAGGTTTCTGGGATTGTTTTTCTAACAACCATAGAGGGCTAGCTTGGGAAAAATAAAGGGGAAGGGGAATGATAGCAGAAGTGCCTTCTGCTCTCAACTCCTGCCCCCAGCAGCACTGGCCAACTGGTGCGTCCTTCTGCTCTCCAATATTTGCCTTCTTCACGTCTTTAGTTTTTTCTGGGCTGAAGTGTTCAGGAAACAACTGAAGCATCCAGGATATTAACTGGACATTGTTTGACTTACTTTTGCTAGAAGGTGTTGTTCCACTTCTTGGAAGCAAACGTTAAGTTGATTAAATTGGTGGGAAGAGTGCCAGTCTTGGAGGGCAGTTAATGAGTGGACGAATTGCTGACCTTTCCTGGAAGTAGGGCAAGCAGCTTTCTCTGAAAGATTCCCCAAAACCTACTTAGAATTTTTGCTTGGAGAGCAAAAATTGGCTGACAGAGTTTGGCATGTTAGGAGGTATATTCAAGTAGAGTCAAATACTTTCAGAGTTTCCAGGATTTTACTGATGAATGGAGAAGGAGCTGAAATCTGGCAGGGACTGTTCTTCTAAAGGTATTCCGGCATAGCTCTTGGTAGGCTTGAACTTACCTAGCTGCTTTTTGAACTTCCATAAATTTGCAGCATCCATAGGACACCATGAGGAGGAATTCCATAGATTGCCATCTGGTTTATGAAGAAGTTTCTCTTTCACTTGTTTTGAACTTGACGTGCAACCTTTGATAAGTTTCTCCTTCTTGTGTTGGAAGAAAATGTGTTTTGTTATACCCTATCCAGTTTTGTCATGGTTTTGTACATTTCTGCTATATCCTTTCCTCAGTCCTTTCTCTTCCATCCTACAGAACTCCAACTGTGGTGGTCATTGCTTGTGTGGAAGCCACTGTGGCTTTTGGTGTGAACCATCTCTGTCATTACAAGTAGAGTACCAGTAATTTTCCTGCATCATTTTTAAGTGGGTGCATTAGAGAGGAAACCTTCATGCCATGTTGAGGAATAATGCACCATGCACTTGCACACTTAAATAATTACATTCTTTGTCTTTTTTTTTTTAATCTTTTTCTAAAAGTTTTGATATCCAGTCTGATTTGTTCAATGTTGCTGAGTACCTAGTAGATGTTTTCATCAAGCTTATCCAATGTAATCCCAATGCCTCATTCCTGAGTGGAATGTAACTGGGAGCCTGTTGGATGGATGAATGGCTTTGCTCATATGACTATCAGTGTGAAACGTAGCACCTCTCACTGATCTGGTGAAGCCTATAGCTCTTGCTGTTACTGGCACACTTACAGGCGTTTGAGAGAGTTTTGAAAATGTTTAACTAACTTAAAGGATAATACTGAGTAAGTAGCAAATTGAGAATTTTTCTCTGAAAAAGAGAAAACAAATCTGCCCTCCACCTGCCAGGATTTGGGGTTTTTTTTTTTTAAGTTTTGCAAATTTATTTTGCTTTTTAATTAATTTCTCAAATAATGCTTTTTTTTTTTTGCAAATAATATAAAAACTTTTTGTGTTTGTATGTGTATGATTGTTTCAGGAAATGCTTCAAAGAACATCAGAAGATTTTTTTCCAAAGATGGAAAGTTCAGTGGAAGAGATGGATACCTCTGATACCCAGTGGGGCTGGTTTTACTTGGCTGAGTGTGGTAAATGGCATATGTTTCAGGTAAATACCTATGAAGTTATATTAGCTGTGATGTATTCCACACATCAAACTACCTATTACTGAATTTGTCTAAATATGCTTTTTCATTTATTTTGAAGTCTGATTCAAACAGTCATTGCTCCGTTAGCAGTGAAGATATTGAAAGGAGCTTCCGAACAAACCCACATGGTTCTGTTTCTTTTACTACTGCAAAATTTAACTACACACTTGATTTTTCAGGTATGTATCTTTTCACAGAGTAAATTTAAATAATAGAAGGTGCCAGATACACCAGTTCATTGGTTCATTCAGCAAATTAGTGTCCTTGTATCTAGTGCAAAAACTGGTGACTGGAAATGTTGTCTTTACTGGAAAATACAGAGGAGTTTTGAGAAGCAGCTGCCTTGATACATTCTCTAGTGTAGTTTATTAATGAAGTAGCATGTCTTGTTTAGTAGCACTCCATGATGTTACTGCTGCTGACCTCAGCTCTAGGTGGTGTGTAGCAGACATCTATGGGACTGGGAAGTTGGAACCTTTTTTCTTGAATGTGCAACTGCTTGTAAGCTTGAAAAACCTCTTCCATTCAGAGTATGTGTAAGAAACATTGATGTGAAGGAAGCTTTCTGCAAAATACTGGCATCAAAGTGATTTAATAATTCCACAGGTAGCTGAAGCCAGTTCTGTTGTGAGAGTAACGAGGAGATAAAAGATTCTGGTAGATTGTAAAGATCTCAGTTATGCCATGCTTGTAAATTACAGAATATTACAGGATTCTAATGTATGTAGATAATTATAAATTAATCTGCCCTTTGTTCAAAGATATGTTCTAATGACTTCCTTTATTTATTTTTTTTTTTTTAGCTTTTCCATCCATAGATTGTTTATTTTTTGATTAAATTACAAACTAGCTATGTGCTTAAATAGAAGCCTCTTACAAATCTAAGAAAATAATTTGAGCAACCTGGTCTAGTGGAAGGTGTCCCTGCTGCTGGCAGGGGGGTTGGAACTGGATGAGCTTTAAGGTCCCTTCCAACCCAAACCAGTCTGGGATTCTGTGATTTCAAATACAGAAAGCGGGGACTGGGTAAAACAGCGATGTACTGGGAATAAAGTAGTATGTAAGAATCCAAGGAGTTTTATGTTTACTTGTGTTGAAATGTCCATTTAAAAAACTCTCTTTTTTAGCATCCAGAATAAAAGCACTAAATGCAATTGCTAGAGAATGATTTTTATGTTACTGTTTGTAGGTCATGACATCTTGCATTAAGGATAGCGGTAAATATGCTTTGCCATCCTGGTTGTATTAAAGTCAGTGGAAGTTTTGCCAGTGATTTACTGGGGCTGAACAATAAACGTCTTGTTTGTGTAATATTTGCACATTTTGCCAAGTCATATAAATGACAATGATTCTGAGGCCAGTATTTAGAAACACTTAATCGAAAAAGCCGATTTGTTAATTGCTGAAATAGGAATTCCTGTCAAACAACTTTGGGTGTAGTAATGTTATTTGAAAAGTAATCACACTTTAATGTTTCATATGCTATAAATGAATTCCAGAAACTTTTCTCATAACTCTTGTTTTATACTCAGTGATGAAACAAACCAACCTAACTACACTTAAGCAACGTCCGATAAAGCGAGCTCCCTTTTCCATCAGTGCTTTCAGGTAAGGAAATAAAAGGAAGACTCCTTATTTTTATTTTATTCCTGATTCTTCTAAGTAAAATGAAATAAAGATATGTTTCATATTAACTGCTTATATTTAATTGCTTTTTTTGCATCAAACAATTTGAGAGGTTAACCAAAATAGGAGAGCTAGTCAAGTGAAGAAGGAGGACATTTCAGAGGAGAAAAGTAACAAAAGAATTAATTTTTAGTTTGTTTTTTATCTTTTTTCTTAGAAAGTAAGGAACTTGTAGTGGGAAAGGCAGGACATACTGAATACTGATATCCTTTGGCAAGGTTCTTAAAGCTGTGCCTGACTTTAGCCATTGGAGTCCCTTGCTGTAAATACCTGCTGAATCAGAATTGCTCTGGAGAAGCAGCAGCAAAAAATGGAGTAGTTTGTTCTATTGAATAATGACATCATAAGTTATTTAGAAGTAGTGTTGTAACAGCAAAAAAGATTGAGTTATATTTTCTTGCCTTGTTGTATGTTTTAATAATTTACTTGAAAATTATTTGAAATTACAAGAAGTTGCATCGTAACAGCCAGATGGGTTTATGAGTCTAAGGGCTTTAGATGGTACGTTCTTTACCATCTGATCAGTCATTAGATGTAAAGCCGAGCTGAAGGAAGTCTGTTACTCAATAAACTGATCTTTGCAGCTATACTATCACAGGTTAAAATGACTATATGAAATATGTGGGGTTCTTTCCCCAAAATAGTTTCTTAGAAATCATTTTAGTTTTGAATTGTTATGCTTTCAAAAAGAAATTTGGCATTTGTAGTAAGAAACGTAGTAGCAGTATTTTTACATTGACGTTCAAGAAGGCCTGTTTTTCTGAAGCATGAGCTGTTTTTTCAGTGGATATTTGCTAAAGACTGCATGCAATAAAGTGTCAATTCTTTTTTGTTTTTTTGTTTCTTGAATAATTGCATTCAGTCCTGTCATTCTGTGTGATGACACTATTCTTTACTTTCAGGAGATTGCGGCTTTTAATCCTGGTTTAAAGGCTTGAAAGCTGCGATGTATGCGGTGTATATGCTTAAAACACTTTTTTTGGGGTGGGGGGGTTAAAAAAAACCCAAACAAAGTCAACTATTATTTTCAAGTGTGTATTTCTAACACAATGCTTTTAAATACCCCATATGAGGGCTCACTTTCCAGAGGCTTAGGCTAGTTGTAATTCCTGAGAGTTTGGAATGTTCAGGCTTTATCTACACTCTCACATTTCTAAATTAGTATTGCTCTCCTGGTATTGCAGACCTTTCTGACAATCTCTTCTGATTTATCATCCTATCTTTTATTGGGTAGATGGTGTATTAAAACTGTTTGTTACCTGGTTTATTTATAATAAGCTAAGCCAGAATTTGAATACAAAATAAGACTTCTTGCCTTTGACCTGACAACAGCCTCTGTTTGAATTAAAACCCTAAGCAGTTTTGTATATGATTTTTTTTTTCTTGCAATACTGTATTGTTGAGAGCAGGAGTTTTACAGGAAGAAAATGCCTCTTGTCTTTGATGTGATGTGTTTTTACCTTTTTTTGTTTGAAGTTTCATCTGTGAAAATGAGGCTATCCCTATGCCTTCACACTGGGAGAATGTAAATACTGAGGAGCCATATCAGGTAAGGATTGGTATGCAAGTTTGTCAGAAACATGTGATAATTAAATAATGCATCGAATTGAAATCCTGCTAACCTCTTTTTTTCCAGCTTATTCCATTGCAAAAGAAAACAAATGAATATAATGAAGTTTCTAGTCTCTTTGGAAAAACAATGGATAGCCACCGAATTAAAAGAATTAAGAGAATACAAAATCTAGACTTGTGGGAGTTTTTTTGCAGGTGAGATTATTTCTAAAACCAACCATCTTAGGATTGTTAACAGAGCAAATCTTGAAGGCATGCAGTGGAAATATGTTTAATTGCTTTTATTACTAATTAAAAGATGTCATTTAATATGTTTTAATTATTATTTTCTTATTTCTTATTCCTCTGAATTCAAAATTCCATTTTCAAGACTCTGTAGCTTCTACAGGTGCAGAAATGTAATACTTGTAGAAATGCATTAGATGTAGCACAGCTAAGACTAAGGCATTAAAGACATTCGGGATGTCCATGTGGTAGATGCCAGTGAAACATACAGTGAAATAAGGAGAACAAAAATAAGCTTTTTGTAAAATAATTAATTGACAGCTTATATTATTTTAATTTTTATTGAACAAAGCAAATGAATATTTATGGCTTGTGTAATTTCTCAACTTTATGAAACCTAGGACAGAATTAAGTGTCCAGTTAGCACATGTTAATGTATTTTCTTTAAATTTAGTGTGCTACAAAAGCTTTTTCTAAGTTCTCTGCTTTTCACTCTCCATATTGTGCTGGCCTGGAAGGAGTAGGAAGTGCAGAGTTCTGTTTCCACTTAATTCATAGTACCAGTCTTAGGCAGTTGTATTTGACAGAAGTTATTTGTGTAGCCTCTAAGGAGGAGTACATATCAGAATGAGTTTGAAAGGTGTCCTACACTATTAAAACCAACTGAACTAAGTAAAATAGTGAAGAAACAACTAAGCAGATGTATATTAAAATTTGCATGTTATATGATTTTTTTGAAAGAGATGTAATTTATTGTTAATTTAAATCTCTATCATGAGTACACATAAGGAAATTTAAGCTCTTGGTTAACATAGTTAGCCTTCTCTTAACTGCAGATTTATTTGGTTCTGTTTACCTGTTTAAGTGTTTCAACATCTACTTTTCTACAACTAAGTTTCTGTAGAGGTGTATTTATACAATTTGGAGTGTGTACTAGTTTTCTTGACCAGTCAGTGAGTAGAATTCATGGTTTTAAGAACTCTCTGTGGCTGCTGTGCTAGAATATTCTCAAGGTACAAAACTGAGAATGGGAAGTGGAATTTCATACATCAGGATGAATTATTATGGTATTACCATATAACTAACTATAATTAGGGTATCACCATATGACTAACTACAAAACTAGGTACTTTTTATTACTAGTATGATATGAAGGTATATGGAGAAAAGCCATTTCCGTTTTAAAACTTTTTCCTGTATCAAAAAAATAGAACAATGAAAATTGCTAGTGTAAGTGTATGCAATTGAGTCTTAGCTGCTTTTCGGGTAAAATACAGCCTTGGAGTATATGGGCTAACACACACTGGTGAAGAAATTATTGCCTGGTAGTATATTACAAAGACGTAGGCATCCAGTATTTCAGATTCACTAGAAGTTATTTTGGTGTCCCATGTAGGAAACTGAAAGTAACGGAAGATGAATTTTAGCCTAGAGTATTCTGGTCCATGCATCTCATTGGAGTTGTAGAGGAGTATAGCAAGTAGAAAACGGTGTTTGGTCAGTGAGATTGCTGACCATCTTTAGCAACAGCTTGAGTGATTGCATAGGTACAGAGCACATGGACATACCAAAGAATCACAGAATCGTAGCGGTTGGAAAAGACCTTTAAGATCAACCCTTAAGATCAACCATGAATCCAACCATAAACCCAACACTGCCAATTCCACCTCTAAACCATGTCCCTGAGCACCTCGTCTGCCCGTCTGTTAAATCCCACCAGGGAAGGTGACTCCACCACCTCCCTGGGCAGCCTGTTCCAATGCTTGAGAACCCTTTCAGTGAAGAAGTTTTTCCTCACATCCAATCTGAACTTCCACTGGTGCAACTTGAGGCCATTTCCTCTTGTCCTGTCACTTGTTCCTTGGTTGAACAGACCCACCCCCACCTCTCTCCACCCTCCTTTCAGGGAGTTGCAGAGAGCCAGAAGGTCTCCCCTCAGCCTCCTTTTCTCCAGGCTCAACAACCCCAGTTCCCTCAGCCGGGAACTCATCCCACTTGTGCTCCAGACCCTTCCCCAGCTCCGCTGCCCTTCTCTGGACACGCTCCAGCACCTCCATGTCCTTCTTGGAGTGAGGGGCTCAAAACTGAACCCAGCACTCGAGCTGTGGCCTCACCATTGCCCAGTGCAGGGGGAAGAGAACTTCCCTGGTCCTACTGGCCACACTATTTTTCTATAATACGGGGTGTCTCTGGGTGTTTAGTTTTGCTTTAGGTTTCTCCTTTGAGTGAACTGGCTGTATAAGAGCCTTCTGAGTGGTTAAAATCAACTTTTGTTTTACTGGATTAGCTTGTCAGTGCTGATAGAAAGTGCTAAGATTATGGTTTTTAAAATAGTTTAACTCCTTGATTTCTGTTCCAAGTCAACAAAAAGTCCTGCTGTGGCATTTCTGCATTCTGCAGAACCACCTTCCCAGTGTGCGCAGTGTATTCCATTACTTTTGAGGAACAACTGCTACTTAAACTTTTGTGCTTTTGAGAAAGTGTTTTGTTTCATTGATAAGGTCAGTGATTAAGCATTGCTCAAATGATTATTTGCATCATTGTAGTGGTCAAAATACATTTGCTGCTGTAGTAGTTCCCATATTAATGACTATTTTAAATTGGTTTTATGAAATCAACTGGTTGGAAGTAGTGCAGTGCTGTTACAGAACGTTTTTGGACAGTTGATTATTCACCTGTTCTAGAAATTTGTTCTGTTCCCATATTTCAAGAGATGTTAGTCTAGACTACCCTGATACATTGTCAGAGATCAGCAGCCAGCAATAGTGGGCTGCTTAATGAAAAATTCCAAATGTTCAGGGTTACTAGCCCCTAGCTCAGAGGTGTTGTCTCCCACAGGTAGTTTTCTCAAGATGCAGGGAACCTTGGCTCCAGGGTTTTGTTGTAGTGCTAACAGAGTGGAACCTGAGTGCCTGGAACCTCTCTGTTTCTGATACAAAATGTCACAAATGAGATTATTAGTGAAACCTCTCAGGTGCCCTTGAGATTGTACTGACATTCTTCTGATTTGGAAAGCAGTTGTAGGGGGTTTGAAAAAAAGACACAAAAAAAAATTAAGTTGCCAGTACATAGGTATGCTAGTTTGCACTAAATGGGGGGGAGAAAAAAAAAAAAGCTGAAAAATAAAACCAAATAAACATCTCTTTCAAGCTAAGTACTGCAAGATTTTCACTTCTGTGAAAAGTACATATTTGTAAATAATGCATCATTGCAATGTAATGCCATTAATATGATCAAGAACCTTTGCTGCCTGTCTCTTTTCCCTGGATCTGGTTGGTAGGACTTCCTCAGATGATTTTGGAACTGTAAGCCCTGAGAATGCTTCCCCAGTTCAAGTGTGCACTCCAGTTAGAAGTAGATTGTTTAATTTGATAAACCTAAATATATGCCTGAGAAACCTAAATGTGTGCCTGAGAAACTGAAGTATATGGCACAGCGCCCCTTGCACTGTGGCTTTCATGGGAAGAAGCTATAGAATCATAGGATGTTGTGAGTTGGAAA